AAAAAACAAAAAAACAATTATCAAATGTATTGATTTTGTTTTTTAAAAACTGAAAATTAAAATCAGAAAATCAGGAAAACAGAAAAATAAAAAAACCAAAAACAAAAAATAGAAATGTTTATATCAAACGGCTTGTAGTAATTAAATATGGTTAATGTCACCTTTCCATCACAGATTCTATAAATTTTGCTATTGAAAATGTTAAAATGTCTTTTTTAAACGCCCTTGATAACATGTCGGAATATTGAAAAATATTATAAATTTTCTTTTGTTTTTTTTAGTTCACCGTCAACAGGTGGGGTGAGACTCGGAAGAAATGTTCACTCTAATGTTACTAATTTATTTTATTTAGTAAATTTCATAATTTTTCCTTCGGAAAATACGAAAAAAAAMMCTACTAATATGTATTAAGGATTACACGTTGAAAAGAAAAAGGACCTAATAATGGTTTATAATAAACATGCACTACTCATCTCATTGTCAATTAGTTTTGAGATGGAATCTCATGAATATTAATAATATAGATTGTCATCATCCTTGAATATTTTTCAATTTGAGCAACTACCCAACAAACTTATGAAACTATTGAATTCTCTCTCGACGTAAGAATAATGTGTTGATGCAGTTATTCATAATTACCTTCAAACTTATGAATTTTTTTCCTTTTTTTTTTCTCTTAAAAATCCAAACTTATGAAATTATTGCAATTAAACAGCCTGTAAAAGTAGGTTTAATTGCAACAAGTTTGTAACTTTAGAGAGAGACAATTATTCCAATTAAAAATTCAATCGTGTGATTGTATTAGGAAATTTAGATCTCCTATAGTAATTAATTTAGGGGTATTAATTATAATAAAATTGAAACATTGATGGAATCAGAGATGGGAGAAAACAATGTTGTAGTTTATGAGGCAAATGGCCTCTCTTCCACATATGGCCAACAAACGTACACATGTACATTATTGTTTCTGATAATTTCAAGGTCTTACGTTGGCAACTCCCATGCATGCTTCTTTTTTGCTCTTTTGACTGCCCCAAATTAAAGGGATAACATTGTTTGTTTGCCGGCTAAAATTGATTTAATTGGATGAGTAATTTGAAAAGCCCAAAGTAATTAAGAAGCAAATTAAAAGATTCAGTTTTCTTCCTTTATGTATATAAAAGCAACAGTAGCAACCTGTCATAATACTATCAGATTAGGGTTTCTCTGAGCTTAATTAGCTACCTACTTTGAAAAACAATGGAAGATTATTGCCATGGATTCTCTTTCACCTGCAGGCTTTTTTTGCTAATGGCTTTTGCCTACACTTTGCTTGTCACTTCCCAAGCATCCGACGATAGAAAGGCATATATCATTTTCAAATTTTCAATTTCCTTTTTACTCCGTATATCACCGATATGTCATTTTTGTAGTATGCGTTTGATGCGTACTATTTTTATGATACACCTTTTTTAGTTATCCTATTCTTTTGCGACTTTGAGATATGTTAAAATGGACATTTTTTAAACGTTTTTATTTTGGGTTGAACTTAAAATTGTACCATATTTATAAATCCTTCCTTTTGTCTTGTGCTTAGTTTGTTATTACTTTAGATCAAATTGCGGCTAGTTTTTAATAAACTTGTCTTCTAAGTAGAAAACTAAAAATAAAAAACAACAAAACCATTTTTTTTTAAATGGTTTTGAAAATTCATGTAATTTTTTAAATGTGCAAAGTATTATTGTTCCCATTATTTTTAACAGAGCTTACTATAGGATAACACATGTGTTGTAATAAATATTAATACATGATATATGGATTGGTTTTACAAATTATATTGTATTTTTTGGAATGGAAGATTATGATTATTTGTAAGATTATTATAATTTGCAGGTGTATGTTGTGTATATGGGCAAACCATCTGAAGTTGAAGGAGGTTTCTCAGCTGCGTCCGCACGACATGCCAACATGCTTCAACAAGTTCTTACCACCAGGTTAATTATAATTATATAGTTTACTAATTCTTTTAATAATTAATCATGAGGAACATATTTTATATATATAGCTTAGTTAATTTAATTAATTATTACATTACCAAAAAAATGTACTTTAATTTGTGGTCTAAAAGATTCAAATTTCCACTGATTATGATGAACTTTGATCTCAGTGATGCATCCAATTCTCTGGTGTATAGCTACCACCGGAGCTTCAGCGGCTTTGCGGCCAGGCTCAACGACGACGAGGCCCGAAAACTCGCCGGTGGGTTCTGAAAATTAAAAGAAAAAAAAAGCCCTATATTTTAAAATTGTCCAAATTTTGTTTTTTGTTTTTTGAAAAATGATACCCACCTCATAAAAAATGTACCTGAGAAATATATATAAAAAAAATGGAAAATATTTAGCTCATTGCGAGAAYCACGCCATTGAAAATTTGACAATTCATTACTTTTTACAAAAAATTCATGTTTTTTYCATTCKCCTTTAATTGTCAAATATTTATTGATGGTGAGAACAAGGTTGTTCCTTACTCTTGAGTAAAACTAAATATTTTTCTAAAAAGATGGAGACTAAAAGAAAGCTTTCTAATTTAGTAAGAAAATAGATATATCATCATTACAAAAGGGGAAAGATGCCAAACACCAAGARGACGCGGAGACTTYGATATCTTCCCAAAAGTTGATGAAAGAATTGTCAATTAATATCGATATTTTAAAATTGTCAATTTAATTCCGATGATTTAGACTTGGTAACATATTTGATTCCAAGAATTTAAATTTTCTCGTTTTTATATCAAACCTTATAAACCGTCTCTAAAACATATTTTACCAACTTGAGAATTTGAAAATTCATTCATTTTTCTCCCCCTCTTTTAGATCTAAACCCAAATACAAAATAGCTAATCAAAAAAGACATAAACTAAATAGAAAACATGTAACGTATTCAATTTGGTCGCATATAGATAATTCATGAGATTTGATTAAATTAGTGGAACCAAATTGAAATTCTTGCAAGTACATACGGACCAAATTAGTTAAATAATCAAACTCAAATCATGAATACCAAATTTGAAACTTATAAATGGAAGAAAGGTAATTGATTTGAATTTGGATGGTTTTGGAATTTTCAGAGATGGAGGGAGTTGTGTCTGTGTTTGTGAGTGAAAAGAAGGAGCTTCACACGACAAGGTCATGGGATTTCATGGGTTTATTGGATGAAGCTTCAAGAACAAGGTTGGAGAGCGATGTAATCGTGGGAATGTTGGACACCGGAATTTGGCCGGAATCTAAAAGCTTCACCGATGAAGGCTTTGGTCCGCCGCCGCCCAAATGGAAAGGCAAATGCCAATCTTCTTCCAATTTCACCTGCAACAAGTAACCCCCATCTTTCATCACCTTATCAACTTAATTAGGGTTTATTAATTTGGTATTATTCATAACAATATTATTCCTTTTTAACTAAAATGGAACCACACAACTTTAAAAATTAACATAAAAGGAATAACTAAAATGGAACCACACAACTTTAAAAATTAACATAAAAGGATTAAGCCGGGGAAGAGACTTTGATAAATGTCTTTTTAAGTATCGTGGCCTTTTTGTTACAATCAAATTCATGATTTTTTTTTTGGTTGAAAATATCTTAACTAAGTGAACTATATTACCAACGCAACCATAGTTCAGCGATAATTAACGTATACTATTAATATCAATACGAGAATGCGTTATAGAGTTTTAGAGTTTTTGAAAATTTAGCTCACAAGTGGTCTCTTCTACCTAAGAAAAACTCACATGACTATTTTGGTACAATTAGCTAATTTAATCTACACAAATCTGTCACATATAAGAGATATGGAGATATTTACATAACTATGAAAACTATAATTAAAGTTTTAGGCTTGTTTAATAATAATTTTTTTTGGTTAATGTACAATAATACTATCTCCATGCATTTTTCTTTATTTTTGCAATCTGTTTCTTTAAAAGCGTTTTTAAAATCTAAGCTGAAACTTGAAAACTAAAAAAGATGGTTGTCAAAAAATTTGGTTTTACTTTTAAAATTTGACTAAGAATTTAAATGTGTTYTTAAGGGTATAAAATCATACTAAAGAAACTTGAAGCAAATTAAAAAATATAATCTTAAAAAATAGAAAACTAAAAACGATATGGTTGCCAAATAGAGATGGATTATTTAAACGACTTTATATCATACTCAAGCCCTCGTCGAGTTTTGATCTCCGAAATAACTTTAAATATGTATTAACATTTTAACGTCCACCATGTATCGGATATATAAATGTTAGTCCTAAAGATATTAGGTAGGCAGGCTAATATATTTTTTTTAAAATGTAAATAATCAGATTAAAACAGACATAAGTTGAAACTTTATAAGTAATTATTTTTAAAAACTTTAAAAATGAAATAAACATTTGAATATTTAGAAATGAAAATAGAATGAGGAGAAAGACGAAAAGAAGATTTTAAGATTTGTCCAAATTAAGACTGAAATTGTAATTTTAATTTGAAGCATTTGGAATTCTTCCCTCATCTATTTTCTTGTTCTTGTTTCTTCTTCCTAACAAACGAACTGTGACTCTTGAAATTTACGAAGTAAATTAATCGGAGCTCGATTCTACCGGAGTAATCCTGTGGAGGGCGGAGGCGACATTCTTTCTCCGAGAGATACAGAAGGCCATGGAACCCATACCTCATCCACAGCCGCCGGCAATTTGGTCGCTCAGGCCAGCCTTTTTGGGCTCGGCCTTGGGACCTCCCGCGGCGGCGTCCCCTCTGCCCGCGTCGCCGTCTACAAGATTTGCTGGTCCGACGGCTGCTCCGACGCCGACATCCTCGCAGCTTTCGACGATGCAATTGCCGATGGAGTCGACGTCATCTCCATTTCCGTCGGAGGTTCTATTCCCAGGGAGTACTTCAAGGATTCAATTGCAATTGGGGCTTTCCACGCCATGAAGAATGGTATTCTGACCTCAAATTCCGCTGGGAACACCGGCCCTGGTTCTGCCACCATCTCGAATGTTTCCCCATGGTCGCTATCGGTGGCTGCTAGCACCATAGACAGGAAATTTGTGACCAAAGTGAAGTTGGGTAATGGAAAAGCCTTTGAGGTGAGCCTTAATTTGCTTTCTTCGTGAATGAGTTCTGCGATATTCTTGAATGTTAATTAATGAGTTATCAAATATGCACACAACCTGTTTGATAGGGGATCTCAGTGAACACCTTCCAACTTGAAGATAAGATGTTCCCGCTTATATACGCTGGTGATGCTCCAAACAGTACTGCGGGTTTCAACGGATCACTTTCAAGGTAATTGAAGCTAAAAAGATTTTGCTTACTATGAAATTGTTAAAAAAATGGTGGGTGACTGACTGTAGTTAATCTGCAAATATTTTATGACATGTCAACATGTTTTCTGTTTTTCCAAGTTAAACTTTGGTGTTAAATACAGGTTCTGCTTCCCAGGTTCTTTGGATATGAACCTGGTTCAAGGCAAGATTGTTTTCTGCGATGAGATTGGTGATGGAACAACAGCTCTGAGTAGTGGTGCAATTGGTACCATAATGCAAGATGCAAACTTCCTAGATGTTGCCTTTGTTTTCCCATTACCTGCTTCCAAGTTAGACTTGAACGCCGGAAGTAAAGTTTTCCAGTACCTGAGATCAACGAGGTATACTTTTCCAGATTTAAATATCAACTGGTCTAAATTCTRTTTCAGTTTCTAAACTTTTTTGTTTATATTAATTAGTCTCTAAACTTTCTAAGAATAAAGAACCTCATTTAGCTTTTGAACTTTGTAAGCTTTGTATAAAAAGATATTTTAGTCTTTCCCATTAATTTTTGTAATAAATTATCCAACAAAAACTCTGAGGCAAATCTTTGTTAACTTAAAAGTTGAGAGGCCGAATCAAAATAAATATAGCAAGTTGATGGACTAAAATAGAATTTAAATCTTGCAAATTCTATGGCCAGTCTTGAGTTTATTAGCTTAAAATGGTTTGAAACCCATCCCTTTTCATTTAGTGTCTTTACTTTGACAGCAATCCAGAAGCTAATATAGAAAAGAGTACCACCATTGACGATCTGTCAGCTCCATTTGTTGTTTCCTTCTCATCAAGGGGGCCTAACCAAATTACACTAGACATTCTTAAGGTAACTCATCTGACTAAGTTCTTCATGACTTGTTAATTCCTCATCTGGTTTTGACTTTTAGAACTATTCTGTAGCCTGATTTGACAGCACCAGGAGTGGATATATTAGCATCTTGGTCTGAAGATGCAACAGTTACAAGTTTAGCAGGGGATAACAGAGTAGTTCCATTCAACATAATCTCTGGAACTTCCATGTCTTGCCCACATGCAACAGGAACAGCTGCATATGTCAAATCTTTCCACCCAACTTGGTCTCCAGCTGCTATTAAGTCTGCCCTTATGACGACAGGTAATAGTTTGAGCTTAATTTTTTAATACCAGTAATTGGGAAAAAAAAAGTGTGGAGTTTT